GTGGGAACAATGTGTATACATACAGCCTGTTCCGTAGATGCTGGTGGCGTCCAGCTGATCGATAATGTCCATCTTGCGGCTGGGGCGTGTCGACTTGGTCTTGCTGCGCTCGCGGCGTCTGGCCTCGATCATCCGCTTTTCCTCGGCCGTGAGGGACTTGCTGTCAAAATCCATGACCGACGAGTCCGAGTTGCGTCTCGGGCGTCGCTGCACCGGCTTGCGAGGCGGCGAATCGTCCAAAAGGCTGGGGCGGCTTGTTGGCTGCCTTGACTTGGACGGGGGCGGCTTGCGAGCCCTCAGGGCCTCTTCCTGGGAGCGAGTAGGGCGGTGCTTCTCAGCAGCTCGCGAAGACACCTGGCTCTCGCTTTCACGGCGGGGGGGCGCGGGTCGGTCGGTAGGGCGCTTCTTGACTAGCTGGGGGTCGAAGGGCTGCTTGGTTGAAAACGCAGGAGAGTCGTCAAGCGTCAAGGATCCCTACGTTTATCACACAGTGACGTTAGCACTCGGTTTGCCGTCGCACAAGCCTCTGAGGGGTTATCCAGCCCGCCCCCAACCGCTCTCTGATACACCAGAGCGACGGATGGGCGAGGAGGGAACGGTGGTCGTTAGGGCCATGATGACAGGTCAGGGCAGACGTACAAAGATCTCCTCGGCAGTGAGAGACTGCGTCTTGGGACCGCCGGCGGCGGCAGCATCGGCAGGGCGCGGAGCCGGAGGCTGGTCGAGGAAGGGGTTCCTCGACAGAGGGCGCTGGGACGGCATCGGGTCGTCGAAGGGGGAGGTAGGCGTCGTGGGGAAGGAGGAGACGTCGATGAGGCCGGGAGAGGTGGCGCGATAGTTGCGGAAGGGATTGTTGGAGGCGAGGCTGTCGGTGTTATTATTGTTGCTGGCGGCGGTGCCGTTGCCGGCGGCGTTGAAGGCCAGGCCGGGCGCCTGGGAGGAGGCGGGTTGCTGCCCTATAGGAGACGGCATCAGCTGGGCGTCGCGGACGGGTGCAGGCCAGATAGGCGAGCGATGGGCAAACATGAAACAAGGACGGCATGCCGTGATCGTCTACATGACACGGCAGGACGGCCAATGGCGAGATGCTCTGGCTGGGCGGCCGTTGGCTACGGCGCCGCGGTCCGCTTGGGCCCCTTGAGCTGTTTCGACCTGATGATGAGAGTCATTATGCAGGCGGGAG